TCATTCAGCACAAAGATAAGCAACCATAAGGTGAGATCTTTGGCAAGAAACCCATGAGCTGTTCAGAACTTTGGAGCAAGGTATATGCATTAAGAAGTTTCTGTAAACATCTTCTGTCATGCAGCCAGAACACGCTTTGTCTGGAGTTCAGCAGAGAAGCGTGGCATGGTATATAAGCCCAGTTCTGCAGCAGCAGTATGGAGGGGCAGGAGTTCCTGGTTGCACGGTGTGTGCACACTGTACCTATTTCTTTACAGAAGAATTGTGTTTAACGCCTGGTGTTGGCACAGAAAGCTGTGCCAATGCTCTGTCCCATTTGTAGCTCTCTGGATAGGAGCCCTTCTAGACATCAGAGAAGCTTTATGACAGTTGCAACTAAGCCTGGTAATGCAAGGACCAGTATTCCAGAGAGGACCCATCCCACTCAACTGCCCTGCAGAACAAAAACGGGAAGGGGGGGCGGTTTGGGAACTGCATGTCCACCATCCCTAACAAACCAAAACCAAAAACACTGAACTGTCAAGCAGAGACTGTCTAATTACTTTGCACAGCTAATCAGCACTCCAGCTCTAACCTAGACTATGCAAGGGTATACTTGCAGCACGCTGGTCTGTTTAAAAGCAAGTTGGTTTTTACATACACCAGACTCACAGAAAGTACAATAACTCTAAAGAAGTCCAAAGTATTGCTTTCCACTGTGTGTGCTACGTCACATTCCAACAGCTATTGGTCCTAACAGGATGGGTGACCTGAGACGGTGTTTACATTAGAAGTATGTTTGCAAAGCCCTCCGTCAGTTTGAGGTGTGTTTAAGGCTACCAGCAGGAGCCTTTGTGCTTCTCACGGGAATTGCTTCAAGTTGCATTGCAAAACCTACCAAGTTTTCAGTCAGAGTTGTCAGTGCTGTCACATTCAGTCCATTTTTATCAATTAGTTGACCTGGATATTTATTTCTCCTTGAGACTTCTACTGCCATTGAGCTGCCCCTCATCAACAGTGATCTTAATCCTAATTCTGTTCAACCGGGCACAATTTGGTTTAGCCTACGGAATTCTGTCTTACGTATCATGATTAGAGACATGACCCTAAGCCATCTTTTTTTATGCCTTTAAACTGGAAAGCAGAGGTCTTACCTAGGATGGGGAAAGGGAACCTTTCAACTTGTCTTTCACTGAGCCTGGATGTAGTGTTACAATAAACCATTTTGCTGAGCAAGCTGTAAACGTGACTGTCAGACTTTTATACAAGTTTTACTAAACGGTTATAAAAAAAGAATTAACTTAAAGGACACCTTTGGCTGCATTTGGCTTTAGGGTTCCAAATGCTAATGACAACGACAGACTGCAGAAACAAATTTGGAGGCCAAGCCAGTTTGAGTAGCAAAATGCAGTGTTAGCTCTCAGTACGTCGGTCCTGCTTGCTCGCTTCTGTCAGTGGAGTTACTGAGTTTATGTGCTTTAATGATTAAACAGCTTGCTAGTTCAGGCCTTGCACTATCACCACCCGAGAGGGAATACACCAATACACAGGCTTGCATTAGGCATATGAAAGGAGGAAAAAAAAAAACCAAAACACCACACCATTAAGTAGGCTAACAGCAGGAAATTTTAAGTAAGCACTATACAAGCCCTTCTCCCTGTACTGCAGAGCAATTCTTTCACTTCTGTGCTTACTGGAAGGAACCAAAGCTGTGCAGACTGCATCCTCTCAGGGATTAAGCCGTGGTTCTGCACAGACCTCACATCTCTTAGGAGCTGAGTTGTTCTAACAGGACATGAGCCTTTACGTTTCTCTTGCATGGGAAAAAAGTACTCCTGCTAAAAGCTTGTGTGCTCCCCACAACACTCAATTCACACATATTAGCCACCACTTAACTTTGGTGTCTCTTTTATGTTCCATACAGCGGCTCCAGTGTACTCCACAGGGTGATTTTCGGTAGCCACTGCAGAGTGCTTTGCAGCACATCAAAAAGAGCTTTTTATCTCCCGAGTGACTTGTTTCTGTCAAACATAAGCTGGATTTCACAGGAGGGCACATCAGGAAAAGAGGAGGGCGGTGGGCTTTTCGTGGGGTTTTTTGGTTGCTTGTTTGTTTTGGTTTTCCTTAGGAGTGGTTTACACTTCGTTTATGTACCTCCCTTAAAGTGTTTTGCATGAATACATTTAGTGTGAACACAGTGTGTGCTCTACATGATTTGGAATAGAAGAGAAACTCTTGTCTCCACTGTGAACATCCTCACTCCTCTACCCTGAAATCCTCAGTGGGAATAGAAGGCATTTGGGCCCATTCAAGTGAAAGAAACACTGGATCAGATGGGAGTTAGGCAGAAAGAAGTAACAGCTGAGCACAGCAGTATTTAAGCCTTAATGTGCAGCTTTCTTCTACCTACCTGAGCGCTAAAGTTAGGTGACCAAGCCCCATACACAGTCCTGGAGGAGAAAAGGTGGGCACCAAAGAATGGGATTCACACAGTGCCTGCAGCAAAGTAGGTGTTTGCCCCAGCCCAGGTGCTGCAGTCAGCTAGACCTGAGCATCCTACCTCATTCCTCTTCATCAGCATAAAAGCTGTTCTCAAGATGGACACCACAGAGTGCGTTTCACAGAGCTGGGGCAAGAAGAGTTGTACCAGGGAAACATAAGATGGAGAGAATTCATTCTGGTCCTTCACTTTTGCTAATAAGCTAGAAATTACAGGATAGGTCTAGAGGAACCATACTCTGATTCACATCCCAGGTCCAAAAAAAATCAGGCAAGCAATGGAGCTAACCTAGTCTCCTGTAGCTGGTTAGCTTTCCAACAAGGCAGAAAGTGGGACTTCTTTCTCCTGCCTCCTTAGCGCAAGATCTGAGCTGAGGATGTCTTAAACCCAAAACGGAGACAAGGATGAACCAATAAATGAAAGATACAGAACGGGTTACGTTAAATGACAGCAACACAGACACCTCCAACATCTGTTGGAAGCACAAGGAAGTTTGGTTTTAGGCAGAAGCATTGTGGTAAACTGTAATTCCCAGTTTAAACACGGGGAGCTGACCCTGGGTACCATGCAATACTGAGGCCATGCAGAGAAGACACATAATCAGGTTTTCATTGAGAATGGAAACCATGGTTTGCGAGAAGAAAATACCAAAACAACTGTTTCTTTTGTCAGGGAGAAAATACCCATTTCCTTGGAGCTTTTTATCTGAAGGACCTAATTCAAAGCTCATTGAATTTATTTGGGAAAACAAGAAATCTCACCACAATGAGCTTCAGAAGGCCAAAGTAATTTGGGGGGCGGTACGGTGTGTGTTTAGGATAATGCAACAAATAGCATATGATAAAGCTTTGACTGAATTTCCCATCCTAGTTTCTACAAGTTTCTCTTCTGGCAAGCAGTTTTATTGTTTATAGATAGCACAGAGTTTATGTTCCCACCAGACACCCAAATTAAGTCCCGTTATTAATATGAATGTCAATAATAATCGTACAGCAGTGTGAACATACAGTTCACTCGGC